TGCATCACACATGATATATGATACAGCTGTAAATAGCACATATATATATGGCTTCTGTTCAACTGCGAATTTTCCCAAAGAATCTCAGTTGATCAATGTTTTGAAATCTTTTCGAATTCGCGTAACACTGGATCTGAAAGCTGTGTCTCCAAAAGGCTGTGCGTTCTCCAAACGAAACAACAGCGGATAAATTGTCAGCCTTCTACCTTCTAGGATTATAAGCAAGCGCCTTTGAAATCGGTAAGCAAAGGAGTGGCAAGCATGCTCACTGATCCAGGAAAGATGTACACATGAACTGATCTAAATAGCATGCGGCTAAAGCAATGTGAGGTCGAAAAAATAATACGAGTAGAACTTTCCTATAGTAGAAGGGGGTTCGATCCTTTCGTCAAACATCATAGAGACCCGAAGAAATTTGCGTGTGCTGCAATCTGATTGAACGAATGATACTGTATGACAAAGAGCTCAAATCATTTCTTGTAAACACTCTACGCACGTACTGTATACAATTTGATACCGTAACTTTTGACTTGTGTGCTCATTACCATCTTATTAATAACCGTACCGAACCAAACGAAATTACCGTACTTCTACGAACATTTGCAGTGTTCCATTTAAATGGTGATATGATGATAATGTCCTTTGGCGTACTATAATCAAATCATTTTTCACTTGATTCAACCAATTTTTTGAGTGTGTATGTGATAAAACAGGACAGCAAAGACAATCACTATCATGGAGCCATGTAGATAAAGTACGAATTTGTATACCAAACATAACAAAGGTTTTTTTAAGCATGACTGATTCACTTGCAGATTACAACCGTGCAAAAACCATGTTGGCTCGTACTGAAGCAATCGTGAATACGTTCTTGAAACATGGATACAAAGGGTAAGTTTTGCTGGAGTATGATGTGCAAGGCCCATTTCGTTTGTTCTCATTGAGTAATGTTGTTGTGTGGTCACGAAATAAACTCATTTATTATTATTATCCGTTCGATGCTTAACATATATCTTTGACTTAACATCCGCATTTGAAACAGTTCAAACAGACGTATCATGATGCATCTTGAAGGGTGCTTGAAAACGTTTGAGATAAAAACCATCACCAACTAGTGTGACGAACTTAGAGAACGGTTCAGAGAAGCTTTGATACTGTCTCGGAAAATGTTAGGTCATAACCAACTCTGCATGTGCCATCCGCTTGAAACTTCATTTTAAGCCTACGTTTGTCTACCTCCAAGTTTTTGTCGGACTCCATCTGCTGAGAGTTTATCTTATCCGTGTTCTCTGTTGAGATTCCCAGTCGCTTATAAGTACATCAATCAAATCATTCGTATCATTTGAAACATTCTCAGACTGAATTGTTCTGTAGCAATTGGTAATCTTCAAAATTTCGAGTGAATTCGCCATTTATTCTCTACAGAAACACGTGCGATTTCCCGCATCGCTTGGACTCGAATTCGTTTGCGAAAATTCTGAACGACATCGACACGTTCATCTTCGACGCTGATGGAGTGCTCTATCTCGGTGATACACCCATTCAAGGCTCATCGAAATTTTTGGATTTCCTTCGCCAACAAGTAATTCAAAACGCTCTTCTTCAGCCGCTTTTAATTCCATCCAAACTGAACGCTAAGTTGAAAAACGCTCATCTTATTTGACAATGTATGCAAATACCTACCATCCAGAGCTGTAGTGTGAATTCAGATTTCATGACAGATCACAACTACAAATCGCTTTTGAATCAAAGCTTCGAAGTATATGCATTCAGAGCGAATTTCTTGATACATTCAATCATTTGATCGAATGTGGTCTGGTTTGATGTGAGCATATGAATATTTTCAGAATAAGCAAATTATTGTGCTAACAAACAACCCAAATAAGTCGCGCTCAATGATGGTCGCTAAGATGCATCGAATGGGATTCACCGGAACTGTGGAGGTTGCTTTGCGATGAATTTTTCACTTCCTTTTGAGGAGATATTAAGTTAACAACTGACTGAAGTAAACGTTACGATTCCATCAATATGAAGGATATCAGTCATGTTGACAAATCGCTCGCTATTCAACCGTATTGTGATCGAGTAGTTGCGTACAATATTTATGGCCTATATATTGGAATTACAAAGATACTTGTCAGTAATGTGTTTATCCTATTTTTGCGTGAGGAATTTCCTTGAGATTATGGGAAATCGCAGTCCAAATATGAACAGTTTAGTGAGAATCGTATGGTATGTCTGAGTATGAAGATACTTGGAGAAGAAACGTGAAAGCTTTCAAAGGACGCAGTTTGTTTGTTTGCAGGAGAACGTGGTCAATCCGGCCACCATTATTTGTCAGTATTTGACATCAAAAGGTTTCCAGTATAGCGGTAAAAAGGTTTATATGATTGGATCGAAAGGATTTTGTCAAGAGTTCGACAAAGCTGGAATCGAGCACTTCGGCTCCGGAGCGGACCCGATTGAAGAGATGCACATCAGCGACGAACATATGCTGGATAGCGACTCACCGTTATGCTCGATCGATGAAGAGGTACTTTACTTCGCTAGCTTACCAAATGAGCTCGTGGATGGCTTGAACTCAGTTTCGCAAAGAGCAGCAATAATGACTATTATATTGAGAGATTTTACAATTAGCATTTTCCTCATTATGCCAATACTTATTACTTCTGATTATTTTGTGAGATGGTTTTCTCAATGATGATATCTACTTTGCACAAATTTTGATCGAAAACAATTTGAAATTTTCAGGGAAGCGATGTTGGTGCAGTAATTGTTGGATTCGAGACACATTTCAATTATTTGAAATTAATGCGTGCCGCGAATTTCTTACAGGTGAGAAACGTTCATAGAATCAACTTGGCTAAATTTTTGCTGGACTGAAATGAAACTTAATGACTTTTTGTTGTTCAGGTTCACATTGCAGTCATACATATAAGTTTTAACG